GATCAATAGATTTGTTAATATATGTAAAAAGCATAAAATTCTATAAAAATCTAATTTTACTGGTTTACAAGGAAAAAGTATAGCTAAACTTATTCAACTTCTAAATAATATCTGTGAAGAAGTCAGAAAAAGAAAAAAGAACTATGGATTTTTTTCAGAATATAATCAATGCATATAATATAATAAGTCTTAAAATATTGAAAAAATCTATGGACAAAACTATATTTCAGCTATTAGTAGATAATTGATTATAGATTTTTTTGAAATAGAAAATGCAGAACAATTTTTTCAATAGAACTTTTAGATCTAGTTACAGCTAGTGATGGAATAGACCAAAGGGAAATAATCTCACCTTTATTTTGGAGGATTTTCTATAATCCATTATTATGCAAAATTCAAAGAAATTCAAACTATAGATATACAATGGAAAAAGAATAAATATCAGATTTTCAAAAGTCACACCTTAAAGAAAAACTTTCTTAAAGACAAGCAATAATAGTATATATAGATAATATATTTGGATTATCAAATCCAAAGCTGATATAAAACATATTTTGAAAGATATCAGACAATTTTACTAAGCAAATGATTTACAAATAAATAGTAAAAAATTTATTTTCCTGATCTTCAATCAAAATAGTATAGATCCAGGCACAGTTCATGTAGAAATAGACAAATTAATAGTTAAGGAATTAGATAAATATGACCAAGCAAGATTTTTAAATATCTGGTTAGGAAAAAGACATAACAATTGGAATACTATTAATCTACTCAAGACAAAGATCAGAACAATAATCCAAGCAATTAACACTAAAAGTTTAATCAAAAAATATGCCAAGTATATTATCAATAGAGTTCTAATATCTTGTATAAAGTATAGAATACAACATATACACTTGAATAAGAAAGTTTGTAATAATCAAATAGCTATATACTGTATAGAAAAGCTTTCAAAAATAAAGCCTTAATTTATTAAATAATATCAAATAGTTATATATACAATAAATAAATATATATGCTCAAAAGTGTATAGAAAAGCCAACTCAAAAATCTTATAATAACACTATTCTATCAACTAAATAACAGTGAAGCTTCAGGAATTGCAACAGTTATCTGACTTAAACAAAGTCAACTCAAATATTGAGAGCTCAAAAACATACTTGATAATTCAATAGAAGTCAAGACAATCAAGAAAGATAATCTTGCTATTGCAACTCTGGCTATAGCAAAAAAACTATAGATTATATTGTGATAAAAATAGCATCTAATACCATTGGATAGTTATTTTTAGTCATAATCTTTATTTTATTTCCATTTTTATCTATTTATTTTTAATTATTTCTTTGATATTCTTTGATATTCTTATTAGTACTTAATTAGTATAGGCCACTTTATCAAATGTAGTACATGATATAATTTACCATAGATCAGGCAGCCCAGGAGGCCTAGGAGGTCCAAGTGACTCATTTTTACAAGTATATAAATAGTCATAATTCACTTAAAAGTAGGATAGGTTTGTAGATAGCTTCATTTGACTTTGGAAGTTTAGGAATAACTTCACTTTTCTTTTGGAAGATTGGATATCTTCTTTTGATTTTAGGACTAAAAAAATTGTTCTAGTTTTCTTGATTTATTAATATAATAAACTTGGGTTCTGAGTAAATCATATTTCTTGTAAAACACTATGTGATATTGTTTAAAGGATTCTTGGTGAATCTCTTTTTGAATATTTTTTTATCATAAACCATTTATTTAATTCTTTCTTTGGGAATTGTCCTTTTAAAAGCAATTCTATTTGGACATACCAGTCAAATATAAATTTGATCACAACATATAATGTATCATGTCTATTAAGACAATTATAAATGAAAATAAAGAATATATAAAAGCTATCCCTTCTTTAAAAAGAAATAAAATAATATTTTTGAATCAGTTAATCAATATAACTATATTAACAATAAGAGAATAGAGAGCAATCCAAATTTTTGTTGATACTTATAAAGATCACATTTAAAACTGGTATATACAAATCAGAATAAAGGTGACAAAATAACAAGACTTTTTAAAACAATCCTACCAAACTCTAAAATAGATTAAACATGAACTACAAATAGTAAAACTGATTCTTAAAACTGATAAAAAAAAATCAATTGAAGAGTTTTGATCAAAACAATTGGAACTATTATAGGAAAAGTCAAAATGCAAAACAGAAAAGTATTTTTTACACCATATTAACTTACTTACAATTCTATCACAAATAGTACTACTTGTTATTTTTATATATTAAAATAATCAATAATTTCATATATATTCTAAACCTGGTTACTATTGTAACTAAATATATAAGAAAGTATTAGAAAAAGGAATCTACTTTCACTTTCAGAAAATTTTATAGACTGGTAGCCCATAGTACCAATAAATGAATTAAGTACTACATATTTATTGAGACTAGAAAAGATTGAGATACAAATAAAAAATTGAAAAGTTAAACTGATTAAATAGGCTATACAATTAAAAAAGTATATAACAGATCGAATAAAAAGTCTTAAACACAATTATAAGAGCAATACAAAGCAATTCACTTTTTTTACTGATAGATCTTACAAGCAATATATCAAAAACGAGGATAAATTCAAAATGAATCTTGTATGAATTCAAATTAAGAATAATATAATAATTAACCAATTCTTAGCAGAGGCAATATCATGGCTATTAACTATAAAAATAGAAATATTAATCATATTTACTGCAATCTTTACAATACCTGAAAATAAAAAAGTAACCATATATATAAATTGTAATGTAACTATCAATATATGGAAAATAATTAAGTCACAAAAGTTTATTTTCATAAAAAAATGGATTAAAATAATCAATTGGTCGCCATGAAATTGAATTAAGGACTTAGTATAAAAAAAAACCTTTGTTTTATACTTGAAAAGATTAAGGTTTATCAAACCAATGAGTTTAACAATATAGCAAATAGGTTAGCAAAGTAGGTTAGAAGAGAAAACTTTTTGATTTGACAATAAACACTTGATTTGAATCAAGTTTTCACAATAGTAGTCTAGAAAAAACATACTATTAATATCAGTATTAGAGATTTTTTTAAAAAATAAAATACAAAGAAAATAAAACTAGTCTGGACTGAGTAAAAACATATTAAAAATCAATGGATATACTCTAGTAAAGAAATTAATTGACAAATTTTTTGAAGATAATTCAATCTATACAATACCTTTTATACCTTTTTTAGCATCAATAAGGATAAGAGTTTTTTGATAAATCTAATCTATAATGAGCTTCTTACTCTTCAAGTAATATAGAAAAAAAATCTATATTCAAACATAACATGCTTAAATGTAAATCACAAAAGGAAATCTTGAAACATTTCTTTGAATGTTTCATGATCCAAAACAAAAAATCAATTATATGAAATAATCTCAAAGTAAAATCCTTTAGTATATAAAAAAAAAACAAAAAATCTATTTGACGAAAGTCAGGTAAAAGTTAAAAGAGTAACAGGAAAATGGATCCAGGACTTTAAATAACTGGATAAAAGCTTATATAATAAAGTCTGTAGCTTTATACACAGAAACAAGATCAAGATCCCAGAAGAGTATTTTAAAGTTTTCAAGATTTCAATAACAATAACATAAGAGACTATTGATAAATTTAGTAAAAAAATAAGGAAAACCTTTAAAAAGAAAGTCTGAAACAAGCATTATAGCATTATTATCAAATGAAAACAAAATCAAGAAATTATCAGCAAACTCAAAAGGTTTAGAGTATCAGCTAATATGACTAGAAAAATGAATCGAGTCCTTAAGAAAATCAATCACTCTGCTATTTTTCCCTTCCGAAATATAACAGAAGAAGAAGAAGACTCAGAACAAATGAAATTTCAAGGTATTTAGTAGATATAATAAGTAGTTGAATATTCAAATGTTTTAAATGGTTTGGTTTTTAATCATAGTCAGAACTTTGGGAGATCTACAGTAATAAGCTATAGGCAATGATCTGAATGATTAGAGAATAATTCAAGCCATAAAGGGAGTGAAATATCATTCTCTAAGTTGCATCTAGATAAGGTTAAACTTTGTAAACAGGTGAGTCAATATGTGAAAGTCATAAAATATGTAAATACCAAATATGTTTACAATAAAATGAACAAGCCATATTGGCCTGACTGCAGATTAAAAAAAAAAATGACAATCAAATTATAAAATAATTCAATTTAATAATTCAACAAAAATTAAAAGTCAAGAAAATAAGAACAAAAAAAAAGAAAATATAACAATAAGCTGTATAATCATAATCAAGTATATTAATAAAGGTTTGAATAATTGAAGTAATAAATTGTAGGTAATGAACTAGTTATTGCTTATATGTCAATCTAAATAAAAAACAAATCAATTTTTTAATATCGCATTTATTATTCGTTAAAGATTATTTTTTGAATAACAAATAATTCTTAACAATTTGACTAGAGGTTAATAGTTTTTGGATAAAGAATATTTGGTATTATAATATTATCATTAACTTGCGTATTTGTGATAAGTAATTAAATTTTTAGTACGGGTACTATTGACGAATCCAGCAATATTATTGGCGGAGACAATTTTTTTTTCCACCATGTAATAATTTTATTTTGTGCGCTATCGATAAAGTTCGTAGCGTTGCTTACTGTCCTTGATTGTTTCATAAAAATTTTAAAGGCACCCGTTTCCAACAATATTCTGTACTATGATCGATAACAGAGTGACCATTAATATGCTGTATATGCAGAATTGAATGTTTTTTTGTACGCACTGTAAGGAATTTATACGAGGCCAACTTTAAAGTAGTTAAAAATTAAAGTTGAAATTTGTGAAACGAGCCGGAGAATCAAACTTCCGTTCTTTATTGTGATGCGAAAACGCGTAAATAATTCCACAAGTATTTATTAATGTAAATATTCCTACTTGAAATCTTTAACTTTCTCGTAACCTTCAGAGGAAATGGCTTTGTTCACTTATGTTGATGTTCCCGTAATCATAATTCTTCTCGTAATAGCTTATGTTTCGTATTACTATTACGAATACTTCACTCGTGAAAGTCCTTTACCAGGTCCGCTTCCTCTGCCGCTTATTGGAAATGCCTTTACGGTTGCTGGTGATATCGCCATTTGGCCATCAAAGTTACAATTAAAATACGGCGATATGTTCGAAGTTTATATGGGTCCTAGACGTAAAGTCTGGTTATGTAATGAAAAGTTAGCAGAAAAAATATTTAATTCTACTACTAATAGCAATTTCCATAACCGAATTAATGAAGATTGTGATCTTAAAGAAATTGGGTTAGTCAACACTGGATTGGCATTTAATATAGACTACGAAAATTGGACATACGTTCGGAAATTTTATTCAAAAGCCATATTTTCACCAGCTTTTATGAAACAAGCAATGATTAGTACGCAGAATATATTCCAGAAGATGGAAAGTTACTGGGCGGAATTCGATGAAGACACTGTATTAGATTTTTCTCTCTGGATTCGAAACAGCATCACTGATACAGTGTTTCTTCTCACTACGAGTAGATCTTTACACGCATTAACCAATTATTATAACGAAATATCACCTAAAAAAGACACCAATATTTCCGATAGTACGTTAAAAGAAAGTGAATATTTTTTAAAATGCACTTCGGCACTCTTGAATGCAGTGATGTGGTTTTTTATGGTCCCAAAGTTTTTTAGGGATTTTCCCGGAATTAGATTATACACGAATAAATTAAAGGAGCAAGTTAAATGGTTGAAGAACTTTGTTAATGAGATTGTTAAAGAAAGACGAGAGGAAATTGCCAGAACTCCTGAAGATGAAGAATTGACCCGAGATCTCTTAACAATGTTTTTAACAGTTAATACTTCCCGTGACATTACAAAAGGGATTGCGGATGACATAAACGATCGAATAATGACCGACGAAGAAATTACTCATAACTTTATAGAAATTTTGGGCGCTGGGATTAATACGGTATTTGTCGTCAACTTACACAGAACTCATATGTCAATATTGTGTATAACATTTAAATTACAATTTAGGTATCGGATCTCATGTGTTATTTGGTTTACTTAATATCTAAACAACCCGAAGTAAAGCAACGACTAATTAAAGAATTTGACGAAGTTCTTGGTAAAGGCTCAAATTTTCAATTAACTTATGAAGGTGTTAATAAATTATTATATTGTGACGCTGTCATAAAGGAAGGTAAATAATGCGCAATAAAACTAGTTAGTTGCATTTAATTTTTCATCTTTAAACGCAATTAGTACTTTTTAATAGCTTCTAGAGTGTCATCTGTTGCACCATTTATTGTCAAGCGGAATGAGAAACCTGATGAGGTTGGTGGCTATACATTTCCAGAATACACCGAATTCTTTATAAATTACGTTGCAATTCGCAAACACAAATCCAAGTGGACGGATCCGGAGCTGTTTAATCCTAATAGATTTTTTGATAAATCTCATCCTGATTATGAAAATGATCCTCATACGTTCGGGGACGGGCTTAGAAAATGTAGGTTTTATAAAAAAATTTTTAAATGCAGCGTAAGAAGATCCGTCTGATTAGTGTTTTTTTATAGGTCCCGGAAGAAATTTAGCAAGACTTAATCTGAAAGTTATTTTAGTTATGCTTTTTAAAAAATACGATGTTGAGTTAATGGATTCGGAATCCCCTTTAAAATTTAGTGGAACATTGATGAAACAATGTACTGGATTTAAAGTAAAGATTAAGAAGCGAAGTAATTAGGAAATTTTAATATTATTTTGGAAACATTTGTCTGTTCGGATGTTACAGTAGAAGTCACGATTCTTCTTCGTTGCTATGTAAATTTTGAAATCAAACTTACCTCAGGTTGTTATATATTTTGATATACTGTATTACATGTAGAAAGGTCATGTACAGTAAAATAGGGCAAATTTTATATTTCCAAGGTTTTTAAACCAATTATTTATTAAAGTTATACTATGTTAACAAAAATATCGCTTTTATCTAGAAATTCCAAAATTAACTTGGTTTTAAAGAGAAAACAAAATTTTTGACGATGCTTGCCTCGGTCACGTGATAGACGAGTACCGTATGTCGCGGTTCATGCATGGACATTATAATGGTGCGTATCTTCCTGCCAATCAATATACCAGTCACACGATTTTTCACATCTAAAATTTTATCATATGATTTTCGTTTATTACACAAATTACCGCAGTTACATTTTACCAGTTTTCTCTAAAGTCTTGATCAAAAATAAATAAGTTCCTTAAAACAAAATTGTTACTAAGGTTTCTACGAACAAAACAATATATTGAATATATAAAAATAAAGTTTTCTTATGAAATACAACGTCTTTGAAAATGACGAATATTTTTATCTTTTTTTGTTAGATTATTCTTCAGTTTGTAAATTCTTGGTATGAAAAATAGCTCAATAGTTACTCCAAAGTAAGAGCTTTTGATAAAATGCATCCTTGAAAGGGTCGTACCTTATAAACGTGGCAAGGAAAATTAAGGACAAATGGTTTTCAACAGTACGTAGATCACTTTCTTTATCTATTATCTAATCTTTTTTTAAAACTATCTTATTTTATTACACCTCGTTCATTCAAATTAGATAATCGACAATACTATAATAATTCCATATTATTCATATCCTTCTTTATTCTTTTGTATCGATTATACCATCGATCACGAATTCGTTTTGATGTCCAATATTCTGTATATCGCGATAGATCATTAACTAGCCTATTAATGATTTTCTTAGGTAATACGATAAAGTTCTTATACACTTCAAGCTGGTTTAGAATCTGTTCTTCAATAGCGGTGGGCTTGTGTGTCATATATTTTATTGGGCGTAATATTTGAAATGGAAGTTCTATAGGTAAACTGATTTCATATGATGACATTGATTGTAAGTCTATATGAATTTCCCCGACTTTCATATTATGTGGTTCCGAAGTCTGTATAGAACTGCTGCTTGTTTTTTCTACTATACAATCAGTCTCTACCCTTACACGTTTCTTATTTTCTATAATCTTCATAGGTATTAAATCCCGTCTTCCTTGTCCTACCTTTACTTGTATAATAGTATGATAAATATCCTGTTCAACAATAGCATTCATTATTTCTATTCCCAACTCATAGCAAACAAATATTCGTTGGTAATTATCATCTGTTAATTGTGTACTTTCTGCAAATAAGCTATGCAATTTAGGTTGTGGATTACCAAATTCTGCTTTTAGTTTAGCAATTAATCTCCAAAGAATTTCTTGACGATTTTTAATAGATCATGGAGTTCTATTCAACGATTGATTTTCAGTAAACTCTGAAATCAACAAATTTATTCGGTCATATTCTGCTTGTGCCATCTTAATATTTCACCTCAAATTTTCTAGATTTATTGCCTGGCCAGTCATATTTTCTTTTATAAACTTAACTCTGAATGTTTCTAAAGCCTCATCAAAAGCAAAATAATGTCCTTCTTGTGTCAAATTAATAGAGGGTACTAACTGAAGATCTTGAAGAAATTGTGGTTTACTTTGAAGATCTGATAGGAATCGTGCTATAGACTCTGCATATCTTCTTTTTCCTGTGATAGGAAATAAAGGTGTGAATGTCATCAAGCTGTACATTTGCAAATCAAAGTTTGCCATGCGAATGCCAAGCTTATGCAATTTCAAATATCCTGCCTATTGATAAAAATTATACCACACCTTTAAAAGATTATTATTTTCCTTTTGAATGTCATTAATAGAAATATTCATTTCCTTGACATATAGATGGATCGCAACAGCTACCGCTATCCAAATAAGTTCAAATACTCAAAATGTTGCCCGATAGTCAGCAACTTGCTCAAGTTTATCAAAAAACATAACACCAAGTTGTGTGGCAAGCCCAAAAAGCCTGTATCCTAAAAAAGCAGCAATTAGTGCACTGTACATTGCTTTATTTGCATGCCATTGTCCTAGAATGCAGCATATCGTCTGTTCATCGCTCTTGTAATCTTTCATATGATGATAGATTACTTCATTACACACTAGATTTAAGATACTATTTTCCGTGTATCCAAAATCTTCTAAAAACATATTGACAGCCTGATGAACATGTTTATTTTTATTTGGAGCCTCTCCTGGTTCGAGAATCACAACGTTTGGAGATGCCACAAAGAATGCCGAGTTGATATTTTTCTTAATGGCTGCATCAATATGTTCAATATCAAATGTTGACTCTAAACTGATCAATTGATCAAATACTGTATCCATCTTTGTTTGCCATTCTTTCATAATAGAACTTAAGCCGAAAAGGTTCTGATTTTCTATTGGTTCCTCACTTGAATTGACAAGCTCTGAACGTTGAAACTGAAAAACCATCCGTAATATTGCGTATGTAGTAGTCCGAATTACATAAAAAATATTGCCATATTTGAAGGTTTCATCCTTTATGTCAATATTGTCTATAGCTGCAATATTTAATACATTTGGATTTAGATTAAGTCTCAACCGAGGCTCTATTGTTGATGTTCTTTTTTTTTGGACACGTACTTCGTGATCCCTAACATATGGTACTACTTGAACCACATGAAGAATCTTGTATAAAGATCCTATCATTTTTGGTCATTGACATAAGGAAGAAAGAACATGTGTTAACCAGATTTTATGATTGCGATAGGCGATAGTAAGTATTACGGAAGAGAAAAAAAAAGAAGGTAGATTAATTTTTTTTTCGTCCAACTGTGGTGGAAGCATGTTTTTCTCTCTTCACTTTCTAATTAATAATTGCACTTTCTTCTCTTTTATAACTGAAACTAAGCCATTAAAAAAATTAATAAGAGGTAATGGCATGACATTATAATATTCTTCTAATGACTCTGGCTCTTCGAGTGATCATGATCTCTTCTTAAGCTCAGATCATTCTTTTAATATAGAGTGGACAAGTTTTTTTCTGAAGTTTATACATTTGATGATTTTTAATGGTAATATTTTTGCTTCATTAATTTTGATTTTTTTGATTGCGAATATTACTTTAATTAGAAAGACACTGGGAGTTGATGAGACGGTAGAAGGTATATTGATAGTATCTTGTATTTTAAGTATGTCTGTAGTAATATTATCAAGAAATTTGACGAGTTTTTTTAAAATAAACTAACTTTTGCAGTTTCATTTTTAGATTCAGCAGTCTGTTTAATCCATTTAGTAAAAAACTTTAAAACAAGTGTAGTATCATCGTGATGTTGTCCTTGTTCTAAGCATGAAACCGAATGCTTTCCTTTTCCTGTTTGAATGTGCAAGTGACCTTCATGCATTACAAAACAGTTTGTGCAAATGAAACGAGGATTGTTATTATTGATATACAGTTTTGTTGACAGCTTGTCATATTCTGTAAGTGCTGGGCAATTAAACAACCCATGACATGGAGCTTGAATTATGCGTTCATACACTTTCCATATATATAATGTGCATGTTTTGTCCCTTGTTAAAAAGCATTTATATCTATAGCAAAATAAGCAGCGACGTGAGGTAATAATGCTTTCTTCGCTTGATCGTGATGCCTTTATATGTGTTACCAACTTTGACTTAGGTTTGTGTACAGTATTTTGATCATAGTTGAGGTGACGTAGGCAAATACCTAACTTTGAAACATCATCTTCAACTTCTCTTACAGCCCAAGAATCAATTTTCCATATACTGGACAGTTGCTTCACACAACGAACTCCCGCATTATTACACCTTTGGATTGTATGTTGATTATTATCATTGTTGATAATGACACACTGTATAAACTTAGTATTAGAAGTAATAGGAATTGGTCTTTCAAACTTTTTCCTAAATATTTCCATCTCATCATCATTCCCAGGTAATTCATCATCATTATTAAGTAATTCATTATCATCCCCAAGTAATTCATTATCCGATTCTTCAATTATCTCTTGTGCTTTCTCCAATGAATGCCAATCAAATGTAAGAACTCTGTCGCATGCTTTCGCCTCTTGGATATTATCATAAACCTTCACTCTATAATTGTGTAAGAATTCATTTATTTTTTAAATGTAATTCTAAAATACACATACCATCACTAATAGCTGATTAATCTATTAGGGCGGTAGGGAATCTAATGTGACATTAGATCACATGGAATAATCGTGACTTGTAATACACGTGAAAAATGATGACCTAACAGTTAATATTACATATAATAGCACATATGCTCCCTAACACGAATGTTATTTGAAACTATGATAGATCTAACATGGTAACCAGATGACCCATCGCCTACAATGATCTTAAAAGGATATGATAAAATCTGAAAGAAACTATGATAGATCTAACATGGTAGCCAGATGACCTACCGCCTAGGATTAATAATCTTAAAGGATATGATAAAAGGAGGCTCTAGAGTTTATTCACCTTCAAGCGGACAGATAAATGAGATCGATCGAATGGCATAACAATGAATTCTTTCTATGCGAGCCTGGTAAGCATTCATCGGATTAATCATATTAAGGTGATCCTAACTAATTATTTCAATTATTCCTAGGTCTGTGTAATGGGTTAATCACATGTAGCATAGCGCAAGTACATAAAATT